AGCAATGTGGTATCAAATATGCAAAGCACCTAAGAGCTTCATGCTACAGTTATCCTCTTCAGGAAAGGAGTATTTTGAACTTTCTGGTTGTACATCAATTTATGTTCCACTTTGTTCATGCATGAACAGCCACAGGGGCTGGGTGAGCACCCGGGAGCTCCAGGCCACCAGTGACCCATCCCTTCTCTCTCCCAGCTGGGCAAGACACTCACCGTCACAGCTCAGCAGATCCCGCTCTCCCTCCCTGAAAGCACCAATCACTTGCTAGCCATCTAGGAACTGCTACCAAAACATCCCACGCTTCTGCTGGGTCTCCTGGAATGACTAGGGAAGCCATCCAGAACATGCACACAGATAACTTTAGAAAATGAGAGTAGGCTGTGATGAAAGGAGCCAGCCCGTTAAAGGTACAGATTAAGTCTTGTTGGGTCTCCTGTCTCAAGGCATTAGATCTAATTCCTTAGTATCTGCCTGGAGGGCTCTTCCCCTCCCACCCAGAGACGTTAACTCATCATGGAGTTGGAGAAGACCCTGGCTTCTCCTTGGTCTCTGGGTAGGAAGTACTTCAAAGACACCTCCCCTCCCTAGCTAAAGGAAAACCCACCCACCTCATCTACTCCTGAATCAGGTGGGGTGGCTAGAATCAACAAGCCAAGACACTTCTCTCTTCTTCAAAGGACTCAACACGGTATTTCAGTTGCTGCTAGAAAGGAAGAGAAGGTGGGACCAGAAGCGAAGCATGGGTTTATCCAGACAGGTAGCTGTACCTCACTCTTACAGGTATCCACCCACTCCTGTCTGCTATCACTCTGCAGCACTCAAAGCTCTCATGAGCGATGGCTAAGCAGGCCCCTGAGAAATGGTTTACTCTCAGAAAGGCCAAACTTTTCATGTATTTTCAGGGAACTGCTATGGAAATGCTAACTTGGGATCACTTAAAACCCCACGCACTGTGTCCCCCTCAAAGCACTCAAATGAACATCCTTGCATCTTGGCTGAGATGACTGTACACGGAAAATTAACACCTATCAAATGGAGAAAACTTAAAAAGGACAGGAGGGGAAGGGAGCACTCCATCCTTCACATTTGGATACATGGATGCACGCTAAAAATCTTAGCTTGAACCCTTTTATCAGCACATAAAATGAACCCAGTTTAATAATACATACAGGATACAAACACTACAGTTATATTCCCAAGACAGCACAAGAAATTCACAGCCAAGTCTTGATTCGATTTCCTTTACAATTACAATGCAGTCTTGAACACTGGACACAAGAGTCCAACATGCTATTTACATTTCACATTGTGGAGATGTTTGTGTGCTTGGAAGAGTTCTCAGTTCCAAAAGGAAGTGTCATTCACACATGATGATGCAGTGGAAATAAACCAAGCCAACCAGACAAGCCAATGACCACGTTTGTGCTTCTGAAAAAGTAACATGAAGGGTCTTCACCGATGCAGTCACCTTCAACTGGACAAGCTGCCTTCCATTTTACAGTCAGTGAGGTGTCCAGAGGCCAATCTCATCTGCCCTGAACTCTGGACCCTTTTGCTAGCAACCAGTAACATAAGTAATGTTCCGATAAGGTCAGCTGGGACTCACCAAGTGATATGGCCTTGGCATTTTGTCACATTAAAAACAGAGACACACAATGGAAGAGAGAGAAGTCTCTACAGCTTTACCTCCTACAGCTTGAAGAGTTTGGACTCCCTCAACCATGAATGCCATCTAGAACAGATGAGTCTTCGCCAGATAGCACCTGCTGTTCACCCGAGAGGGAGGCACAGAGTCTGGGAGATCTTGGCTTTTAGAAGTCCACTCCTCAGACAAAATGTGACCATATGGATGAGGCTGATTATGTCGCAGCCATAAGAATAGGCAAAGGCCATCTGTTCTTCAGCAGACCCGTTCAGACCAGCCTGCAGAAATGCCACACTGTTGCTCAAGGTTCCAGTAAAAAAAAAAAAACAACAAACAACCAACAACAAAAAAGAAAAAGCAGTAATAACAACAATAAACCAAAAGAAACCCATTTGTCTGTGTTTCCTATCCAGCGCTCTGCACAGCATGCAGCGGGGCAGCAGAGTTCCAGGATGCTTTACAAAAGTGCAATATCCATGTCAAGTAAAGGAAGTGCTGGCTGGACGAAGGTACACAGCTCACACTGCAGTCATGTTACGCTGGCCTCCAGAGAGCAAAATGTTATCTCCGTAACACTCTAAGTTATATTTTGAAGTCACAGAGCACATATCTCCACATCTGTGCCTTGCTGCAAGCCCCAAACATTGCCAGAAGTTGCTCTGGGTGTTACGAGTGGCTATACCAAGCCTTGGAAGGAAGCAGGTCAAGGTGGCTGCTCCGTTAGATGCTGCAAACAAAAAGGCATAGGCTCGCTCCCCGTTATCCCTGCTGGCACAGACAACACCACCGCGACAATTTAGGTCCAACCCAAAGTGCAGTCACACGCATGGTCACGATGCATTCTGTATACAGAAAAGTCAATATACAGAAGCAATTGTTTTCACAGGGTTCCCCACACCCTCCAGCCTTCAAAACACTTCCCTTCAATGAGTAGGATCGGGACACAGATTTTAGGGCGGCTCCCCTAAAACTGATAGCGTTAAGTAGTAATCCAAGTACATCCTTGCAAGGAGAGATGATGGCAGAACAACTCAGTCTTAATGAGAATTATATGGCTCTTGCTTCTTTCTTCAAAGCAAGGGGAAGGTTCAGTTCCCCCCAGACAGTGGCTGCGTGCTTTGGGCCCTGCAAGCTAACCCTGCCACATGCTTGCACAGCCGGGTCTCCTGGTAGGCTTTAAGACAGAGTAGAAAACTTGGTGCTCATGAGCCACAGTGTCCCTCCATACCACCTGTGACTATGTTTCCCTGCCCTTGTTATTTGATAACAGCGAGGTATGTTTCCATGTGAAGCCCAAACATGTTTGAAAGGGCATTACTGAGTCCTGAGCAAGAAAATCCTGCTTCCACAGATTTATGGTGAAATGTGAATTTTTTTTCCAAAACCTTCTCTTTCGGTCTGCATGGTGGTGCCTCCTCCCTGTCTCACTCACTCCTTTGAATGGCAATAGCTGGCCTACAGCTTTTGCAGTCTATTAGTGGTTTCTATCTTAAAAAGAGTCTCAAAGCTTGCTCTTCCACAGAACTGGTACCATTTTACAGCAGATACCATCATCCTAGTTAGCTACCTGCTAGGAGCAATCCCTACCTCACTGCAAGAAGGCAACTGACTTGAGTAAAGGCAGATTGGTAGATTCTGTGCCCCGTACAGCAAACGTGGAGTAAACAGACACCGAGTCTGAACGTCACTGAGGTGAAGACTAACTGCCTCTGCCAATGGCTCAACTCCAGTTTGAGAGACCTTCCCACTTTATTTACTCTGCCAGTTATTTACTACAACGCTCAGCAGCTACGCTATGATGCCCCTGCTCAGAGGTAAAAAGACAAAAAGGAACATCATAGTTACCCTACTGAGAGGGCAGAACTCAACAGCACCTCCCAAGAGGCAGTCTCCTCTTCCAGTAGGAAGCTGTCAGTGCCCTTTGGAGCACGGCTCTTCAGTGGAAAGTACAGCACCAATGGACGACACTGGCCTCCGCAGGCACCCAGCTGCCCCTGTGCAAGCCTTGTTCTGCCTCATGTCTAGAAAAATGCCTTATGTATGCCTTCATATGGTCAGATAGTGGTTAGCAACGTGCCTTGAAAAACAAAACGAAATATAATAGCATAAAATAAGAACCTCTTCTTACAGTCACAATGTTCTCCAGATGTCATTTGGGTTTCTGATTCTGGAACACAAAGATATACTGACTATCTTGTGAGTTTGTTAGGACTGAGGCTCCAAAAACCTCCTACAATGCCAGTTCAGCAACCCTGTGCTGTAAATGACGATTTTTTTAAAAAAAAAAAAATAAAGTCCAGCAGACTCCACAGGTCACTTCTGCAGGGAGAATTTGCATTTGTTACAAGTTCCATTGGTGCTTCCAGTCTCTCTTGCTTTTGAAAGCTGACTGTCCCCTAAGACCTAGCATCAGAGTGCTGAAACCCTTTAGTGCAAAAATACCCCCTGTGAAGTCTTACAAGTCTTTTCACAGAAAAAATTTGGCACCAAGTGGGTGGCTGGCTCCTGTTTGATCTGTGTGTCAGCCTTGTGAAGGGAGCACGCAGAATGCCACCTGCGAGTACCTGGGCTTCCCTGATGGAGCAGAGAGGTCAGGTTCAGAGCAAAGGACAGAGTAGTTGGCTGATGCTGGGACCCCCTGCTCCTCCTCCAGAAATCACATGCTAGATATGGTAGGGGAAAACAAAACAAGGCATTTTCTTAATGGATTTTTTCTAAAAAAAGTTAACCAGGGTAGTGGAATGGTTTGCTCTAGAAGAGCCCCAGGCTCCCAAATTACAGTGGATATACAGTGACACCATGAGGTTTCCGTCCTCCCTCACACAGTGCACCAGACCAGAGGACTCCCACCAAGATGCTGCATCGTGAGCTGACTCAGCATTCCCTTATTGTACACTAGTCACAGGCACCCAGCCTCTGCTTCTTCAGTGTTTGACAGACTGCTGATCCCACTGCAGAAGTGAAGATCTACCACCATCTTTCACTGAGTCCCTCTGGGGAACAGAAGGGGAAAAAAGGGGGCAGAAGATATTCACCAACTTTTTCTGACAGGCTACTCTAATAAGTTGGTGCCCAGGCAGGTGTCATTTCTTGCCTGGGTGCTTTCAGGTGTTCACCTGCACATGCTCTCTCTTGCACATCAGGTACAACAAGGTGAAGGTTTAAATTCAAAAAGGGCTTCCACTCCAGTGGGCAGGTACCAGGTTGGAGGGGTGGTCTAGGCTGCAGAAACAGAAGGAGCTGCACTGGATTTTGGGCAGAACAGCAGGATTGTTCTACGAGGACAGCACAGGGGCACAGCAGTTGGCACATTGTTTAGTCTGACTGCATGTGTGGGTTTTGTGTTGTGGTTTTTTTTTTTTGCTTTTGCTTTTTCATTTTAATGCACACTGCCAGCATCTGGACGAGGTTGGTTGGTGGCGAGGTATTTGGCTCTCATGCTGGAGGTGTACTGGAGGAAGACAAGACAAAAAAACAAAACAGAACAGAAAAGTAAGTCAGAATGACTAATGTAAACACAGAACCACAGATTACTACCACCTCCCAGCATAAAACGGTCTGTATTTACAGCAAGCACATGAAGGAGCAGCTGCTTTCACAAGCCACTGCACAGTCAAGTCCGAGTAACATCCTATCAGCCTGCTGCAAGGATGCTGGCCAGGTCAGTGCAGATGTGTTAATCATTTATCTAGGCTCTCTACAAAGAAGGAAATCCAACAGTAATTGAGTTGAAATATGCCATACTTCACTTGCAAGAAGAGGGGGAAATGGAAATGATGCAGACGTAAAAACCCACCTCACACCTTCACCCTCTCTTAGCCATGTTGTTGCTTTCAACCACGCCAGAAAAGGAGGTTGAAATGAAAACGGGTGTGCACTGCATTTTCACATTGCATTTTACAGCAACGAGGGCATCGGAAGACTGCATGCATCACAGATGGGCAGTTTGAACGAAAAGTGTAGAAGAATGAATCTCTGAACTATTTATGCCCAAGAAAGAACAGACCCTGTCAGGCTGGAAACAGGCTGTTGCCAAACAAGATGATACTAGCTAGCAGTTATCCGATGAGTAATAATCCACCGTGGCTTGGGATCCAACCCGCGCACCATGCAGCAGTAGACAAGACTCCAGCTTGGGGGTGAGAAGAGAAAGTCAGAAAGATGAGAGGTTCTGGTTTTTAGGGCGGCTGTTTTTTTTTTTCTATTTTCTTTTTTATTCTACACAAGGTAATCCAAAACAGCTCCCAGAAGCTACTGAGGTAACATATGCCATTCAGCTTTGAATAACAAGCTGAAAAGCATTAAAATACTACCCAGCAGTAAGAACAAAGCCTTTGCCTCTTTATGACAATGTGTTCAATGCCTTCATCACAACCACATTACTGCTTCTGGGATTCTGCTACCATGATACTAACCACCAAGCAATGAGGACAGACGTTTTAGTCATCTTTTTATACCAGCTGGAGCTTGAATAATTCTATAATACTCACATCCTACTTCCCAAGAGTGCTCTTCAGCATACTGTCTTTTTATCGCCTTTAAAACTGAACCACACAAAATAGCCAGTTAAGCCAGCAAAGAGACAACTAAAAGACAGTTCCACACCAGGAGGTAGGATTTATCTTGCCCACTGGGAAAGAACATTATGAGGCATCTTTAGGCTCTCTAAAGCTCAGCTGTCCAAAGAGGTTTTCAGAGAATTAACAGTATTTTACCAGTTTTCCTTCAAAGACTGACCCAGGTTGAACTCCTGCACAATAGAAGAGAGTATCTGCTCCTTTGGCAGAGCTGACCCCATCAGCACAAGATGAAGACACCTGTGGCTTATTTGCAGGCACACCTTTTAGTGTCTTCCATAATTGGAAAACTTTCTGCAGAATATGGATCTTAATACAAAACTCTGGCCCAGAAATGGCATCTATATTTAGAAGACAAAGAGTACATCTGTCCTTTTTAAGATGTATTTTTTGTCAGTGAGAAGGAAAAAGGTAGAAAATACCAAGCTGAGCCAGTTTAAGGACTATATTCTATCAAGTTTATTAAGTGTTCCAGAAATAAAGTTTAGGGCATTACTAAAACATATGAGACTAACCAAACAGGCTCAGAGAGGCTTGGAAGTCAAAGAACTTTCGTGTAGAGTAAATAGGGCATGTTTCAGATAGGCAATGCTGACATTACCAGCCAAACATCGTGTTAAGAAGAGGGTCTTAAATGGAAAAATGCATTGGATTGCTCATTTTCCCTTTGTATTCGGTACAGTGACACATGATAGGAGATGAGTATGAACAGAGAACTTCCAGGTGCTAAGGTTTTGTAAGAAGTATTTAGAAAAAAATCTCAGATCATGGAAGGTTATTGTGCATCTTCCTGGACAAGTCATACAGATTCAGCACACAACATGCAACATCAACTTTCTTTAGAGCATTAAAATCAAGAAGGGCCACCTGACAAACTGCATTTCAAAGATGTACAAAGTACACCCAACCAAGACAGAGAAGCCAAAAAGAACTCACTTCTTCCTCCACCAAGAAAACACCCCACAGTTGTTTAAGTGTCACCAAAACAAAGTCATCAGGAACACGAGATTTGGACAGTCAAGCAGAGGGCGTTTTACATTCAAACCTACCTGCAATCCACCACAAAGAACAAATCAAGACTCAGAGTAGTCAGAGTTAGGGCTGATGTTCTCTCCTTAACTCAGGATTTTTTGCCTTTGTACCTTTTCCCATTACAGTTTGAACCAGTTACCCCTTCTGTTACAGCGTATTTTTAACGACCATAAGTACGATTGAAACTTGGAAGTAGAGAGTTAACACTTCACTGCACACCTCATAACCAGCACAGCTCTACCACCGTGCACTGGATCTTCAGTCACTGCATTAGACTCCAGGTGCAAATGCTTTGCTCCACGTGCTGTTGACAGTAGTCCCTCATCCAAGTCCTTCAGTGCATCCTCGGATAGGAAGCAGAGGAAAGATGCAGTGGAATACAGAGATCCCAACATCTCAACAGGCCAGCAAATGAAGATGTATCAGCAGACACTTGCCAGTCACTATATTATCCATAGTTAAATAAATAAGTCATTAGCTCCTCTAAAAAGGAGGAGACTAAAGTCTTAAGTCTAAAGACTTAAAGCCTGAGGACAATTCAGAGCTAAGGAGGTCTTGGGCTCTATTCTGAGGTAAATCAGGATACAGAGCTACAAGTTGCATTTAGTTTTCTTTAAAGAGGAGCTTTCATAGAAGGTTAAACACCACACACAATGCAGTCATTCTTCCAGTACTCTCGCTGGAAGTACCCATGTGCCTATACACCCTCATTTACCCTTTCAAAAACAGCAAGGAGGACAAGTTTCAACCCATACCTTCCCCACGCTGTCAGCTACCCTAAAAAGAGTACCTAAGAGACTTTTTGTTACCATTTCTCCTGGTGGCTGGTGCTACTCAACACAGCACACCTCTCAGTCACTTACCAGTCAGCTAGGACAAACACAGCTGATCGCAATCAAGTTTATTTTTGTATTTCTCCAAAGAAAAAAAATAAATCTCTCCTCCACATTCAGCCCTGTTGAGGGTATAAACTTTCCCAGGTATCATTTGCCAGCGCATACTAGTTAGGTGCTTAACACATATAGCCTGTGTACAAGGGAATCATTGGTTGCCAAAAAAATAAACTAAAGGGAATAATCAGTTAATTTTAGAGACCATAAATTCTACCAACTCTTGTGACCTGTGCAGACTATGAGTACTTCACAGCTAACAGTTATGCTGGAAGATCACTTACCATATGAAATCATGACTCCGAGTATAGACTGTTTACTATTTGTGGTTAAAAAAATAATAACAAAATTAAAAAAAAAAAAATCGATATGCATCTCTCTTCAGCTACCCTGACTGATTTCCTGCCAAAGCTACTCAGGGAATCCAATAAAGACCAAAGCTTCTGGATTCAAGTTCTTAAAGGTTGATCCACCTTTTAAACAGCTAGAGCACAGTAAACACATAGGGTTTGGTATCATTAGGTACGTGAGGTACAAGATGCAGGGAATTTCAGCCAGTGAGTTCTGAATTCAAAGCGACTTAAGCTTTCAAAGTCAAAAGAACAGAGCTTCTGTTTGTTTTGTTTGTTTTTAAACTCTTGGAAAGAATGTAATGCCTTTTTCTTAGCCCTGCAGTCAGCCACATTAAACTCTGGGTGTGACCTTAGGTAAACAGAAGACAGTGCAGACTGAGATCAGGTCATATTTCAGCCCAGACGAGATTTCAAGTCCAGAACAAAGGTACACTAGAATTTCCACCCCCCCACCAAGCAATACTTTATTTCATGGAACAAACCCATCTAACATCACTACAATACCACCTGTAGGAACCAAAAAGCAGAAAAAACACCCAATAAGCTGATGCCCAAGAGCAGCCTTTGCAAGACTTAAGACTGAAGGAAGCCGTGACCCTTTCAAAGGTGCTAACACCATGCTTCAAGACAAGTTTGTTTGTATTCATGCACCTTGGCACAGGGCATCAAGACACTCGATTCAGAGAGCACCCTTCCCAGCACATCACAAGGCAGGCAGACAAATGGCAAGAGGCAGCAAGAATGCAGACCAAGCAGCAACATGACAGAAAGGAATCCAAGGCAAGGCTGACAAAAGTCCCAACATGAACAGCAGAAGAGAAGGAAGAGCAGCTTTATGGACATGTAATTCTGGGAACAGAATGTAAGATACGGTTGATTGCGTAAGCCAAAAGCAATGGGCCTTCTGTTCCAACTGGAACCAACACCTTCCAGTTACTCTGTGACTAGTTTCCTTGAAGAAGCCCTGTCCTTCCTTCACACCAGGTGAGTTACCTGGTAGCTCTAATTATACCCTGTATTCAACCAAGCTAAAACACTACAAGGCCTAATTCAGACCACCTACTCTTTCTGTAGGCACATTGCTTTGTCATGGACCACCATGAAGGAAGAAACACTGGCTATCTTGGAGAACATCAACTACAGCCCATTAGGAACTCAGTGAAATGGTACTAGAAGGGCCCTGTTCACAAAGCCTGTGGGACATGAATGGGATGATTGGGACACACACAACAAAAAACAGCAAAAGGTTTTGAAACAGAATGAAACAGATCTCAGTGCTTATGTCTGGACCCTTAGGGAAGTTTTGTTTTGGTTTTGTTTTTTTTTTTTAATTTGCTCCTTTCTGACTTTAAATGCATGGATAAAAGGAAAAGCTGCACACAGATCTAATAGGCAATGAAGTAAATCTTCAGGACAGGCCACCATGACCACCTAGGATATTTCAACAAATTAAAAATCCTACAGAGGAGCTTAAAGCTTGTGGCAGGTAAGTCTCGGTGGTTTTGGGCACATGCTGTTATGGCCAGTCAAGACAAATAGAACAGCAGTAGGGCTCAAGGGAACCAAAAGCTGAATTAAGACAACCAGTCCCAACTGAAAAGCTGCTAGATTGGTTCTCCTTACTTGTAGAAAATGGCTTATTGTGATGGGAGAACTTCTATGCTGCATTTGGAGGGCAAGGTTAGTTCTGCTTTTGAGTAGCACTCAGTACTAAGTGTTCCAGCTGTTCTCAAGTGTGGACTCAGCTGAAGCTGCTCTGAGTTAGGTTTTGTGAGGCATGGGCATCTATAACCCTCACAACATGCACCAGAAGCCTTTGCAAGGTTGATGCTGCTCCTTGAGTCTGCACCAGAGCGAAACTGGTTTTAATTTTAACCCTTGGCAGGAGGGAATGGGGTGGGAGGTGCAGAGGAAAGGAATGTGAAGAAATAAAAGGCGCTGGCCTGGGAGAAACAGTGCAGGGATGAAGGGAGTGGTTGGGAGTGGAGAAGGGGTTGAGCAAGAAGGACCTTTTTTCCAGTACCTGTTCCATTTGCGGGCGCTGTTACCAGTATGTCCGTGCACTGTCCGAGGGCTTAAGCTGCCAGCTCATATGGCTGCTACTGTCCATGGCAGCCAAATACAACTGTGATGACGCAAGAAAGAGAGAAAAAGAGAGTGCAGCCTCAACGTGCATGAAAAACACAGTGCAAGCAAGTGAAACGCTGTGGTGTGTGTCAGCAACAAGGTGGGCTCTACAACCCTAAGGGAATAGCCCTGTGGGGCAAGAAGGAGAAAACAGAAGGAATGAGAGAAGGGAAAACAAACAAACAAAAAGCCAGGAAAAGTAACGGACAAACAATGCAGCAGGATCATCACATCTTAGTTTTCACCATCTGTTCACAGAAAGCTAAGTGGAATATGTCAGCTCTGCCCACCCACTGGACATAACCTGTTTGGATGGTTATCCCCCTCTCCTCCCTCCCAAAAAGAGGAAGGAACATGTGCACTGGTATTCCCTTTGCATCTCTCTCCTCCCACAGATGATTTGCTACAAAAAGTTACCATCCCTTTTGCCTCAGTATGGTCTCAGCCACCTGCTATGGAGAGCTGCGAATACAAAAATCCCAGAAAAGCGCCCTTCCCTGCTGCCTGCCAGTATGAGAGTAGACAGTATTCTTCTTCTCTTCAGTGCCTATCTACTATGTCCCTCCAGAAAACACATTTATCCTATAGCCTGTTCTTTGCTTCGTCTCAAGAGAAGCTCCCTTTGTCTGTATGTTGCACTCTCCTCCTACCGCGGCTCCTGCACTTCCCTACAGCTCATATCGATGGCTGTCAATTCAAGCTACTCTGAAAAAAAAAAAAATATATATCTAATCTTTACTTCTTCTCCTCTCAGAAACCAGCCTCAGGCACAAGGATTCAGATCCCCCCTCAAGGTATTAATGCAAACAGCTACAGAAGAACCAGGGAACTTCTTGCATAACTAAAGCCCCTGCGGAAAGGAGTGTGCTTTCTCTGAAGCAGAAGAGCTGCAGGGGAAGGGAAAGCAGGACCTTGGTCTACAGACATTGAACGAACACACGCCTTGGCAGTACCAGAGGGACAGTGCCCTTCCTACACCAGGAAATGCCAGCAGGAAAGCATTTGCCACACTGTACTGCGTGCAGCACACCAGGTCTCCTCCTGAGGACCGTCTCATCACTGAGAGCAGGTAACGCTACCAGAGCTTGCCATTGGAGTACCATCAGGGATCAGGAAAAACTCTTTGTGAAGGTTGAAAGAGGTCTGGTCAAGTACAGAGACAAGGATCAACTCTCCACTCTTCCACTTTCTCTACAGCAAGATGAACTGGTCCTTTTGAAGTGAAAACATGAATGTGATGTCCTCTTTTCCACCACAATTCCTATTCCTTCATCCTCTAACCACCTCCTC